ACCAAAGAAAAATGATTTCTATAGAGTTAGGATAAATTTATCAACTACAAAAAATTTAAGGTTCAACAAATTAAGTTAATTCAATCATTTTAACTGCAGAAATCTATAATATTTAACTAACCAAGAATTAACCAAAAAAAAGAAAGAAAGAAAGAACTTATCTGTTCGCTGAGCAGCAGGAAAAGTCAAACCAAAAAAAAATATCCATTGAAGCTCATGAGGAATGCTGGCAGCCTGTTGAATGGAAAAAAAAAAAAAAAAAATGTTCGTCGAATGGAGTATGGAATAGTCATTACGGTAGCCTAGAAGTTCTAGTAGATTTTAGGATGAACAAATGAGGTTCCAATACGGTAAGATAAGTGAAATACAGTTCCGGATGTGGAGATACGAGAAGATTATGATGAACTAATGAGGATCTAAAACGGCCAAATAATTGAATACAGTCCCGGATTTGGAGATACGAGGAGATTAACAGGAACTAATTTTCAAACCAACTAACAGGAACTTTTTCAAACCAATTCCGGACATCTTCAGCGGGAAATGACGAATCAAATTCTAACAGGTTCCAAAAGCAACGGTTGTAAATTAACGCTCCATTTCAGAGTAAAGATAGCGACAATCAGATGGTTGAGCTGGGAGCACGCATCATTTTTCTAGAAATTTACTTCTGTATATTTTTCTTGAGATACACAAACACACACAACAAAAAAACTGATGAAAGAATTTCGAATTTTTGCGAAGACATAGATGCCCATACCTACGGCCCGCGCTCAAAGCGCTTAGCCAAGAGGCCCGTAGGTCTATAGGGGCGAAGCTCCATTTTCTTCGTCGGAGTCAGCTGTCGCCTCGGGCAGCATCAGAAAGCAATTCAAAGGGCAAAAGAAGTGTCAAAAAGTGACCTCGTCCCACAAAACAACCCGTTAAAAGGGAGAGCGTCGGAACTCCAACTTGGCACAACTCACTCCTCGCCAATAGTTAAACCAGTAGCAACTACATCATTCCTTCATGTTTGCAAACTCGCCAAAGCCACCACTTTGAAACCCCAACGGAAATTTTAAGTCGCCAAGCCGTCGCCAAAATAACCACCCAAGTGGAGAGGGAAACTTGGAATTTCAACAACCCTGTAAGCATTCCCAACGAGGGAACGCTGAAACTCGAAAAAAAAAAAACGACTACTTTACCGGAAAAAAAGGGCATTTCATTCATCCCCACAAGAGAAATCACAATGAAAACGAAAAAAAACTACTAATTAAAGCTCATAACTAAAATGCAATTAAAGTTAGGAAAACGAAAGTTATGCCAAATTAAAGAACTAATTTTTTTCTGCAACTAATGATATTAAATACTAAGAAATCAAATTAATTTTTAACATGAAAAACTGAGTTTATTACAAGAAAAAATTCACCTAATCCATTGTTGATGTACAAGATTGAAGACGCAGTTCGCGTAAACTCGAATAGCCGAAATATATTACACTAGAATTAATAAGCCAAAAAAGAATAAACCAAACTTGTGTAGCTCAAATTTTGAATAATTACAAATTAAAATTTTGATTTTTATGAATCACTTAATTAAATTAAATTCGCTACACAACAATACAATCCACGCTCCATACTTCAAAGGGTGTTTCCGGTCTAACAATAGGTTGAATTGGGATTCGATCTTTGTACGTAACTGTTCTCCTCAATTGGCATTCTTTACTACTTTTACAGAATTTTTTAACATCTTGGTTAACAGTAGGCCAAAAGAATGAGTACTTGATTCGTTGAATTGTCTTTTTCTCACCGAGGTGGCCGGCAAGAGGGATTTCATGTGCCATTCTTAGGACTTCCCTTCTTTTTTCTAAAGGTAACACAACTTGCTTAATGTTTTCACCACAGATATATTCGGAATGAAGTAATATGCCATCATCGAAAGTATATGAATTTTGATTTTTATTTGCCCATTCAAAGCATTTTTTCAGAGTTTCGTCTTGTTCTTGATGTGTCTTGAATTCTAGTCTTACTCTGTTCGTTGTTTTCAGAGACTATGTTTTCTTGGGAAATCTGATTAACAACAGCCAAATTTGTAGTATTGTCTTCAACTGGTGAGGGTTCATCATCTGTCTCTTTGTACTCTAAGGGGGATGCATCCCAATGACGATCACTGTTCCACAGTTCGATATTTCCACAGAGTGTTTCATAAGCTGAAGAACTCAATAGCAAGTCGGTAACTAGCTTTTTTGAAACAGCACACGTAATGGACACTCTACCGTGAAAATCATCGTCAATTTTCATCTGGAAAATCTTTAGTGGAGTAATTTCGTTTTCACCAAAAGCAGAAGATATCTCTATTTTACTTTCTCCTTCGCAAGGTATGTTGTCAACCAATTTCTCACGGACTACTGAAATTTGTGCTCCCGTGTCTACGATTCCATTTAGAATAATATCTCCACATTTAACTTTGACAAGTTTTAATTCATCTATGTTTCTAGACACGTCCACTGATTTTGAGACAGGAATAGAGATCTTGGCAGTTAGCACTTCTGGTTTTTCTTTTTCTGCAAGGGGTGCTTGTGTTTGTATTAAGTTGTTTTGTGCTGTTGCAGAAGCACTTCTTGGTATCCGATTTTTGGTACATAACTTAGATGTATGACCTTCTTTTCCACAATTATAGCAAGTTAGTTTGAAACTAGGCTTTTGTGGTTCGTCACTCTTACGGGATGGGTACACTCTTGGCGTGTTTTCAGCGGACAGCGATTTATTTCTGAAAGCTCTTTCTGGAAGTGGAGAACGAGGTTGCCATTTTTCATTGGTTCTGTTGGTGATGGATTACCACCAGTCCTGTTTTGAGATATTACGAACACTGTCATATTCGTCAAGTTTATCAGCTAATTTGGTTGGAGAAACGAACTTCGCCCAGTCGTCAAGAAGATGGTCTCTTACTTCATAGGGTACTCTTTTTCTTAATTTGGTCAGTAATAATCAAGTCTTTTAACGCGGCAAAATTTGTGATTTCAAGACCATTGATCCATTCTTCAAAATAACTTGTAATTTCGTAGCGAAAATCTCTCCATGATTTTTCAGTGCTCTTTTGGTGCATCACAATTTTTTTTCTAAAGCTTTCAGGATTTAATTTAAATCTCTTCAATAAAATGGCCTTAATGTACTCATAATCTTCAAAATTTTCTTCAGATTCCCTACCAATTAATTGAATGATTTCAGATGGCATTAAAGTCAATAAACATGAAACCCAATCTTTAGGATCAATCTTTGTCCTTTTAGCTTGTCTTTCAAATAAGGATAAATAAATCACAATATCATCGTGTCTTAAATTGAATTTGGGAATATGCTTAATTAAATCAAAATTATGATGTCCATTTTCATTTGTTGGTGGAGTTTGTGTTAGTCGAACACGAGATTCAATTTCGAGTTTCCTCAATTCAAACTCCATTCGTACTCTTTTCTGCTGTGCTTTTAATTTTTCTTTCCTTCGTTGTTCCTCAATCTCTTCTCACTTTCGCTGTTCTTCAATCTCTTCTTTCCTTCTCTGTTCCTCAATCTCTTCTTTTCTTTTCCTCTCTTCAATAATCGTTAAAAACACTTCTTTAGCAAATGCTTCATTATATGTATCATTTTGAATTATTTAATTTTTTATCGCCACGATTTTCATACTTGGATCTACTTGAATTTCTAATTCAGCAGCTAAAACTAGGAAATCCTCTTTTTTCCCACGTCCCATAAAAGCCATGTTTCGATTTTAAATAAACCTTATTGTTTGCAAATTTAATAAAAAAACTAATTTTCTTGTTAATGCGTCCTTCAATTTATCCTTAACATTAGTTAAAGTACGAACTCCCTGACTGCGGTTTTCTCTTTCGTTGGGGAAACAAAAAAAAAAAATCGTTTCTATGTGTAACACTGTAGCAGCTGGCTGACGCCAAGTACTGATTTCTGATTTTATTCAGTCAATAGACTCTTAGTTTTATAAAAAGCAATTTTTTTTTTTCTTTTTCTATTTAAATATAATTCACAATGAATTTAATTTTATTCGGCACGAAAATCAATCAGTGGAATCAATACTTAATGTGTTGTTCACCTACTCTGGCGAGTCAAACGAAATTACATTTGAACACTGGCGTATTCATTACTTTGACAAGTAAATAAACTAAGATTCCATGACGGAAACAATAATTAACTTTTCATAATCTTAATTAATTATTTTACGTTTACAAGGTAAATGAACAATAATTAACTTTTCATAATCTTAATTAATTATTTTACGTTTACAAGGTAAATTGAACTCTCACCTGATGAACTCTCACCTGACTTATTTTGGTTCGTAATTATATGCGGGGAAACCCCGATCCTGTCGTCTGCGCCAGTAAAAATCCTTTCCTTATTTCAATATAATGGATATTGAACCTTGTAGGAAAAAAAAAGCTAAATTTTCAGAATGAACAAAATACTTTTATTTAAATTTTAAAACAGAACCAAAAAAAATAAATACTGCAGCTCTTAACTATCAAAATTTTAAACTCTTAACTACTACAGTTAAAGCTCTTACAACTATTAAAAAAAAGATCTTCCGAATTGTCTTTTTGTTGCCACACCGTAAAATGCAAGTTCTTGTCCTATTATTTATATTTCACGTTCTCTTTAAGTCACGATCTTTACAAGTCATGATCTTTACAAGTCACGATCTTTACAAGTCATTATCTTTACAAGTCACGATCTTTACAACTCATGATCTTTACAAGTCACGATCTTTATGAGTCATGATCTTTACAATTAACAGTCTTTACAAGTCATGATCTTTACACATATAATTCGGCTTTCTCTAATCTTTTAATATAAAACGTGTATCATAGCGGATATGCTTTGGAAATTATTCCTTTGTGAGTCATTTACCCAAAGAGATACAGTTTCAATTAGTAAATTCGGAAAACGTTTTTATGAAATGAAAATGCTGTCACTGAAAGCACTAAAATTTTATTTCATTTCTTTCTGTATCGTTTGCAGGTGGGAGAAATACCTAAGCCCAATTACAGTGAATAGCGCTTATAACCGGCTGGAGAACATCATTGGTGAATAAATGTTTCCTTTTACATTTCTTTATTATAATTTTATTAATTAACGAAGATACATTTTGAGAGACTGAATTTTTAATATCGATCAGAGAAATATTTGATTTGAGAATCAGATAACCAGTCATCTCAGCGGAATTTAATCTTGCAAAGGAAGAAAAACGCTAGCTAGAATTTTCAACAGAAAAAAAATATAAATTTGTCTTTATACTTTTTCCTTTTTTGTCAAATTGAAGTTAGTTTAGTTATTTAAAAATTTATTACTATTATCTGTAAACATCATATTTTATAAAAGCTTTTTTTTATTTGCGTGTCACAAGCTTCCGTACGAAAGTTTGATTATTGTGCACCTAAATTTATGGTTTTCGATACTCTTTAAATGTATTTTTTTAGATTAGTATCAGTTTCATTTTTAAATGTTTATTCACTAAATAAATCATACGAAAAGTATAATATACAACTTCAGTCTGTTAAAATTTTTTAAATATTTTTTTTTTATCACAGTTGTTGATCCTGAAGTATAAGAAAGGTATTCCTGTCAATAAATGTTTCATTTTGGAATGTGCCATTACTCAAGAAACTGAAACATTCATAAATCTTCATTTGCTTTATTATTTGGGAAAATAACGTATTTACTTTAATATCAGCCTCGCTTGCTATAAAGTAAATTTTCATAGTTTATCGATTTTTGCATGACTTTGAGTTAAATAATTTTTATATTTAACATGGCAGTTATTCTTCACCAGTAGCATTCTCATTACAGAACTTCCGGTAGGACATATACAGTACCCCTTTTTCAGCAAGGATCTACCTCAGTGAGTTACTAGTATACACAATATATTTCTTTAAATTTGAATTAAGGTTAATTTTGTCTTTTATTATTACTCTGATTTAACATAGCTCTCCCACAGTTTTAAAATTGCACATATTTATTTCAGGTATCTGAATTTTGGAACTATTGGTTTTACTCTTGCTCGTGAATTCACACATGGACTGCAATTTGCAGGTAAAGTGGTTATTTGCATTAAAATGTAAGATATTATTACGGATTTGGTATTTAATTAGTTAATATTAGTATAATTATAAATAAAATTGTTTTATTCCCCTTGCAATGCAGTGCATGACGAATATTATGAGAAAGCTAAGCCGAAAAAATTAAAAATACAAGAGCAAGTGCATTTAACATTTAAAATATAATAAATAAATAGCTCTTTTTGATTTCGAGAAAATTCTCCCGCATTTAAAAAGCTTACATAAACGGCAGGAAAACCTTTCACTTCGTTATTCAGTTAGTTTGTTGCTGTTTTAAGAGTTTGTTTAAAAAACTGCTCTTGTTGACAAATTCGTCAACAAGTTGAATTCGCAAAGCTAATTCGCGGATTAGCTTTCTCTAGCTGTTTAGAATTAAATTCTCTTGAACGTTTGAGTAGTTAAAAGATAACTACTCGGAGATATTTGTAATACTGCGCTAATATCTGAGGAAATTCAAGCATTTTTGTTGTGATAATAATAATAAATTTTGTTCATTTTTCATCGGACTTGTGCATTCAATTCAAAACGAACCCGTACGCACGCAGCAATACTATATAATGAGCAATTTATAGAAGTTTGGTTTACATTATTGAGAGTACTAAAATTTGAAAAATCAAGAATAAAATGTATCGTTGAAAGCAACTCAGTTACTTAATTTAGATAAAACATAAGATGATTACCAATCTCCGTCCATTGTTTGGTCCATATCAGTGCAATTGCAGAAAATTGAGCAAGAATCATTTTAATTTTCCGCACACTTTTCAAGAGAATATCAGTCGATTATTCCCCAGATAATGCAATCACAAATTTCCATTCTAAGTGCGGTATTCTAAAGTACGTCGTATTGCTTTTGCAGGCAGCATTAGTCTTCATATTTTACAGGGTTATACTTTTAAAAAATAAAGCAAAAAAATGGAATATAGTCATTATGTAACAGAAACACTAGAGGTTTTTAAGGAAACATTTATTGGCAACATCAAGTTCGTAGCTCATAATTAAGTTTTAACTTTAAAGCTGTAGATTAATTAAGTTTCTTTGATACTGGAGACTTGAAAAATGTGCAATGCCTTCCCCAGACTCGAACACTGGACTTCTCGAATACGGGTCAGGTATGCTTCAAGCTACACCACGAATGCATGAGAAAAGATTAGAGAAAATGCTCTATAGAGTTACCTGTGATGTTGCGCTATCTTAATAAAGTAAAACGGTATAATCATTCAGGTTTGAAATGAAATAAAAATTGACTAATATACTTTTAGTTACTATGATAGGGACCATACTTTAAAATTCTCGAAAGTATGATCATTGCAAGCTAAAATTTAAAGTAATTTGAATACTAAAATAAATGCCCTTGTAAGACTTCCTTCCTTTCCTTTAAACTCAATTTAAAATAATTAAAATACAGAAAAATTTTGAAGCACATCCAGCATCTGTGCATCCACCTAGGAGACCGTGCATCCGAGGGAGAGCACCGCGTAGAGGTGGTACAAGGGTCTTCCACTCCTCTTCGACTCACAGTTCATTTTGAGTCCTCCCCTGCCGCACAGACGCTATACGCTTGGAAATATCCATGCCTTCTCCGCTATCCAATGCATTGCCCTTCTTTACAGCTATCACCGTCATTAACCTCGACAAGTCTCGACCTCATGGTATTTCTGAATGCAAACTGTCTTTATCCGCAGCTGAGTTATTACCAAGACACTATCAAAGCGCACTGAGAAAACTATGTGATATTCCTGTATATTTTCATTTTGTTATTACTCATTATTAATAATTTGAACTTTTCTGCACATCAGTGCAATGCAACCTTCTCTCATAGCCCTCCCCCAGGATCGGTAATCAGGTGCAACACAGAGTGAGAAAATCAATGATAATTATGATGATGGCAAAAGCAATAAAACACTCAGAATCGGAATTGTTCTAACAAAAACAATAAATGCTAGAAATTGTGGTATTAATACTCACCCAAGTAAAATACTGTATGGATTTCTTGACATTTCCCAGTATATTTCATGTGTTTTATATTACTGCAAAGTTGCTGTACCGATTATCAGTAAATAGCCGTCGGTAAAATACTCGATTGAAAAGGTAAATACTTGATTAAACTATCATTATAGTGATAACCTCTAAATTATAAATTTTCAAAGTCTTTGACTGTTTTTAATTAATATAGCTACTTCTTTATTTAAAAAACTTTATTGTGTATGTATTAATATATATAATTTCTGTAATTACTGTTTATTTATTAATATATATAATTACTGATATATATGCGCGTGATATTTGAAAAAAGTCACAAATGAATTGCGAAAAATCATATCTCAATTTGCAACTAGCAAATGGTATCGGTAAGTAGTTTTGACCTAATCACTTACGGATATATACATAACGAAGTGCCTAAGTCTTATACATTTTATACAAATTAATTTTTATGTTTCCTTTATAAGTTAATAAATAAATTTCGTTTCTTGAATAATATTTGAAAGGCAAAATTATATTTACAAAATTAAAATTATGAATATGTTATTAATACTATGCTTAAGATTAAAAGTTATATAAAAGTCATCGACGTTCTAATTCATACCTTTACTAATAATGACACTGATAATTGCAGCTAAGCAACTTGCAGCTCAGCAACTTCCTGAAAATCCTGACTGGCCAGATGAAATTTACGAAACAAAAGCGCAGTGCTTAGAGGAGCAATACCGTAAATATATTGCTGAAAACGGAATGCGGGTAAGATACATTTAAGATATTTGCATTACTTTCTGTAATTTCTAGATATTTGTTTACTCTGTGTGTATGTGTGTGTGTGTATGCGATACGTTACTAGTTATAAGTAACGTATGGCCTGGCTTTCTTTATTAGCTGTGGTTGGGATGAGAAGGAAATATTTCATAAAAAGTCAGAATATATTGTAATGTTCTTCGTTAGTTAGACTAGATAACATGTTGAGGAACCTAGTGAACTATGTAATGACTTATCGGTGAGTTCTAGTATTTACCACAGAGTCTAGAGAAGGCTTGAAATACCCTTTTATTTGCTCAAAGAAATAACAACAGATGGCGCTTTCTTGGTCTTCCACTAAGGACTCCTAAGCACTGTCTTCCGAAGTAAGTTGAACTTCCTTCAAATACTACTTCTAACTCATTTGCATTCCATGCGATTCTAAAAACTCGTTCTGGTAGGGAGATGTAAGTGAGAAACAAGAATTGAAGGGAAAGGGTTTCAAAATTAAAAATAGCTGCTACAAAATTAAATACATCTTACAACATTTATAATTCTTTACAATTTTTGCAAAAATCACTATCGACCATTTAAACTTTTAAATTATTAAGCATTTTTCTAGCTTCTAACTGTTGCCAAATTTCATTCGAAACTTTGAAACATTAAATCACACAATAATTTAAAATGCACATTTAAAATTGTTATCCTCAGTTGTATCATTATATATGATCTGTGTCTGATCGCCATCAAAACCAATAGAGATATAAGGTATTTCTCCCGCCTTCCTAGCATACCTTCGTGGTGTAGTAGTCAGCACACTTAGCCGGTATTTCAGACGTCCGTGGTTTGATCCCGGAGAAGGCGATTGCTAATTTTTCATCTCTCTGGCTTCCAAAAAAAAAACCTAATGTCTCTACAGTGGCGCCCGAAATAAAAGGGTGTTGGCTGATGATTCTTCTCACCCAGGATTTGGCGATTGGGTCCCCTAAAAACCCCAGTCGGCCTTTAAAAGGGGGAGTATATAAGGTATTTCTTTCGCCTTCCTAGCGTGCCTTCGTGGTGTAGTGGTCAGCATACTCAGCCGGTATTTCAGAGGTGCGTGGTTCGATTCTCGGCGAAGGCGATTGCTCATTTTTCATCTGTCTGGCTTCCAAAAAATTCCTAATGTCTCTACAGAGTTATATTCAAAATCTCATCCAAACCAAGGTTGCTTTGATGTCTAATGTCTAATTTTAAATTTTGTATCGGCGTGTTTCTCCTCTAACTTAAATTAGGGAAGTCTTCCTGGAGAATTTCTTAAAGGTAACTAGCTTATATTTAGGTGAATAATGGAAAAGACAGAAACTTTAGGTATCGCCAGCTCGTTCAGTATACATAAAAATATTTACTAGTTAAGACACAATAACACGCCGAACAAATACTAATTCTGAAGTCAAACAACAAAAATCAGCGTTATATTTGCTTGTCTGATTTCATGCATTTTGGTTACAAGCGTTTTGTTTTCTATTCGTTTCAGTGAAAGATTTTTCTGCTGTTTTGTGTGTGCTTTATTATTGCTTAGTGAATTTAGTTTGATTTTCTGCATTGTTTATCATGCCTTCATCCATTAATCGTTTCATTAAATTTACGCGTGAAACGGCAAAACGTGCTGAATCATCTTGACATTTTATTTGGGTGTAAATGTAAAAAAAATGATCCCCAATTTCATTCACATCAAATCTAATCAAAAACCTTCCGGTCGCGTTTCAAGAATTGTGTTAAACTGCAAGCTAGCCTTACTTCGGTCCATCATAAGAGATACACGTCAACAAGTTGTCCAAAATTGAACATGGAGCTTCTATAAGCTTCATCTGCAACTCGTTAATTCATATCCAAAATTCCCTGCCCTTGAACAAAAGTCTGGTCTAAACGGAGAATACGTTAACCGTCATAAAAACACCCTTGCACTTAAATTCGAAAAACTTCTTTTACAGTCTTCCAGTTCAAGTAGTTCAAAAAAATCTTCCCATTGTAAACATCAAGCCAATATTTAATATTTCTAATGTTAGTCTTTCAGAAGAACAAGAGAGAATTCTAAAATATAATTTTAACTTCTCATAAACCTGTAAACCCTCGATTCCAAAGATTTTAGAGCTCCTATCGAAAAAGCTTTCAAGTTCAGTAAAGTTTCAGATTCACAGAGAGAAATGATTAAGCATCTTATCACTCATAATCTCAAATTCAATGATAAACCTTAGAAACCAAATCTAACTGCGAGAGAAAGAGCTGCAATGAGTGAAATTCATTCTAACCCGGATATTATCATTTCAAAGGCCGACAAAGGTGGCCAGATAGTCGTCATGGATAAGAACACTTACATCGATGGTGTCACTAAACTCTTAAACGAAGGACCATATAATCCGATTCCTAAAGATCATTCACCTTCGGACCTGTAAAAAATAAAAACTGCGATGAAATCTTCACAAATCATTTCAAGCAACTTAAAAAATTCGCTTATCCCATCTGTTGCGAATTGTGCCAGATTATATGCTCTTCCCAAAATTCATAAAAGTGTTATTCGTTTCCGCCCTATTGTATCAAATTTAGGTACTGCCTCGTATCCATTAGCTAAATATTTAGTTTCTAGATTTTCAACTAAACTAGACAATAACATTTACACAATAAAAAATTCAATAGAGTTTGTAAAAAGGTTAAAAACATTTCTCCTAGAAATTTACTCATGGTTTCTTTTGATGTAAAATCATTATACACCAATGTTCCAGTGGAGGGTGCATTAAGATTGTTATGGAAAATTCTTATGTATTTTTTGTTGTGTATAATTGTTGCGTATTATTTTACTGTGCTTAATGAATTTTTATTGTGCTTATTTAAAAATTAATGTTTAGTATTTAATATTTAATGTTGTTAAACTTTACGGCAAAGCTCCTTTAAGTTTGGAAGAATATGTGTTACAGTTAAAAGGGCCTGGGTGTATTTCCGTTTCTTACGAGTCGGCTTCTTTCGAGGTTAGAGGTCACTGCCCAGCTGCATTTTCCCCTTTTCGCTGGGTTGAAAACACGTGTTTTGCTCTTTCAGAGGCGAATAGTTCTAAGGGGCGGCGATTTTCTTGACAGAGTTAAGGCGCGTTTCCACTGCTGCGTATGCGTTGCGGTGTGTATGCGTTTCTCTAATCAGCGAGCGAATTCACTTTGATTGACATCTGCAATCCGGTCGATGTGCGGTGACGGATGGGGTACGGATAGAGCTACTAGAGACCTTTTATAGTAGTCTTACGTACGGATAGAGTTCAACAATGTTCAACTTCTATCCGTATGTCTGCGGATGCGTTGGGGTCACGTGGTAAAAAAAGGAGCAATCAGGTGTAGTCAACAAAAATTAATGGTGGCAGAAGTACCGATGAAAGCTCACTTAGGGAAAGAATGTTTAGCTAAAAAATACTTATTTCTGAATTAACATTAGAGCGAGAAATCTGCGTGCTGAAAAAGACAGCAATCAGCTGAATTTAGTTAAAAAAAGATAAGAAAAATAAGATAACTGCAACTACAGTACTTGTTCGCAGATAAAATCGGGCGTTCAAGAAATTCAATTCAAGAAAATCAGCGGCAAAAAAATATAATTCCAAGTCCATGAATGAAATAGCAAAATTTGTCCTGTCAATATATTCCTAGTTCTGCATACTCATTTACCTTTAATGAAAATGAATGTCTGACTATATCAAACTGCTATAGCAAAATTAGATATGATTAAAAGATTTATTATTTTTTTTTTCTTTTGAAACAGGTAAAACTAAAAAAAACGTTAATTAAATTAAATTTGATAGCCTTTTAAATATTCCACTGCATTAAAGAGTATGTTAAATTTGTATTTCTCTTTATAAATATATCTTTTTGGCCAACATATATTTTTAAGCACATGAAATACATTTTTAGCAGCCCGTTTAACTTCAATCGGAAACGCCACTTTAAAAGATATGTTTTTTGTAAAAATGTACTAGAAGCTGAAGAACAAACTCTGGTGAATTTTTCAGACGATAGCACACTGAAATAGGACCAAAAAATTTAGTTTTAAGAATTGATTTACTTGATGATGTATATAAGCGAAGATATGCATAATTCCCATGTGATGCTAGCTTAGTGGTAAAGCTGACGTAATAAAGTTTACTTTTGGCGGTCGTTTTGAAAATTATATAATACTAATTTAAAGCATACCCTGTACATATATATTTGAATTTAACAAACATTCTCGATTTCGTAAAAAAAATTTAAAGTTAATTTAATAAATGAAATTTAATGCAAAGAAAGAAATAAATGATTAATTATTACTGCGAAAAATCTACAGTATCATTTAAATTTTGAGAGTATGTAAATCAAGTGCAGTATCAAATCCATGAATAAATTGTATTCCAAAAAGTTATTAATCCTAAAAAATTTTATAAAAATGCATAAGTGAATAATGGATAGATTATATCCTAAAGTTTATAAAAATGCATAAATGAATAATAGATAGATTTAATCCTAAAAAATTATAAAAATGCTAAGTGAAAATAGGAAATAAATTTTTGGAATAATATTTATTCATGGATTTCCTTCATTTGATTTACATATGCTCTCAGAATTTAAATGATATTGTATATTAGTTCGCAGCAATAATTAATCATTTATTTGTTTGCATTAAATTTCATTTAAATTTAATTAACTTTAAATTTGCTTTTTACGAATAGAAAATGTTTATTAAATTCAAATTTCATTACTTGCAGCAATGGCCCAAGAGAATTATTTTATTTAATTTATTTTGAAACCCTGTAGATATATATATATTTTTTCCTTTCACTTTTATGTGAATGTATATATATACATGTGCTCAGACTTTGGGATGTTGACGACTCTAAACTTTCATTCCAATTAACATGAGACAGTATTAATGCCCTAAACATTTTTTAACAAAAAATTACTATAATAATCGCTTTTGAATTCAATCCTCTCCAGCAGAAGCGCAGGAATTAATTAAATAAATATTTCCATTTTCTTTACCTAATGTGTGTATATATAAAGAGAAGAATCTTAATTTTATAACTTCTTCTATAAAAAGAGATATGAATTAAAATTGCTTAAATTAAAAATAATATTTTATGGATTATGCATAAAATATAATGCCTATAGTGGATTTTAAAACAACGAGATTTCTAATAATTATCCAGCTATGACCCTGAAGTCAACGATATACAAGCATAGCAAATTTTGTGTAAATATTGCGAACCTTTCTTTACAGTTGCTCTGTATGTTTAAAGTACCAACTATTTTTAATTCCTTAACTTTTTATTTATTTATTCATTTGTTTATTTTTTCACTAACAGTACATCTTAGTTTTAATAATATATATATTATTTCATCAATATTTAATGCTTTAGAAACGCAAAAAAAAAATTAAATTTACTTCAGCTTCTATGGAATTAGTGATGTTCATAATATGCATTATAACCTTACTTATCTAAAAATTTTTAATAACATGGAATTTAGTAAGCAAAACCTTCCCTGCGTTTTACGTCGGATCCATATCAAATCCAAAACAAACAATACTCGCTTAAGCGGAAAAATTTGTTCACGTTACGCGAACTGCCTTTTGGCAAAATAAAAAGTGAAAGGGAAGGTTGAAATATTCTACGGATAGCAGCAGTAAAGCTTTAGGATGCGTAGCGGTCTTCAGAGCAACCGTTCGTAGCGTAGTGGAACGACTTTATAGGTTGGAAACATTCTTCTGTTGCGTGGGAAAGAAAGGGTCTGTCATCTTGTAGAAAGTTCCGGATTTCTGAGAAATTTAGAGGCTATTTATTACCTTTTCTCTAAGTGGCTGAGGGAGTCCAAGTTTCCTTAAGATTGGTTAAATTTTTAATTTTAGTGTTGTTTGAATAGTGATTTTTTAGTGTTGTTTGACTAGTGATTCTTAGTGATTTTGAGGCGTTTCTTGGTGAGTGTAAACCGAGTTTATTTAAGCCGTTGCACGGAAGCAGGGGGGAATTAGATTTTAGACTGAAAGAGACCTTTTAGCAGATTTTTTGGAGCCTTAGCGGGTTTGCTTCTTTGACGGCGGCCCCTTCGGGGCCGGCCGCGGTCAGTGAGGTGCTGGGATGGAGCGGAGGAAAAACGCGGCGGTTCTTCGGGGGTCGACCGCGGTTTACAGTTAAGCTGTTTATCTCCGAGATTCTGGTTACGGAAGTGTCCGAGATAGTGCGGATGCTCGTCATGTTGTCGGCGGCAATTCCCTGTCTTGCGGCCTATTATTTTCGATTTCGTCGCTGAGATTGTTTTTTCCCATTTGTGGAACAGTCTGAACTGCTCGTTCGTGCTGGAGTTTCTATTTTGCTTTAGAAAAGATGGAAATATGGAAAGTCGTCATCGCCTGAGGTCTGCCTTGGTCTTTTGTCTCCAGTTTCGATCTTCAGTGGAACTTCGAAAACGGGAAGTTGATTGAGTTAAAATGCTGCTTAACGGAGGTTAAATTGAAACTGGAACTATGAAAAAAGGCTCCGGTTCCGGAAAACAACGATGAAGATTTGGCAGTTATTGTTTCGGACGTTTGTGACTGGATCCGGGCAGCTCCCTGAGTCTCTCAAAGGTGGTACGCCGATTTCGTGAGTGACTTTATATTTTCATTGGTGTTTATTTTTTTTTTTTTTTTATGATTCTTTTTAAATTTGGAAATGTTTAATACTATAATAAAGCAAGAGTTGTCATGTTAAGTAGATAAAAATTTGAATATTTTTACAAATTTCTAGCTGAGAAAGTAATTTTTTTTTATTAATGTTTAATAGTCAGAAGTTAATTGAACTAATTGGAGGAAGTGAATCTTTGTTTTAATGTTTAAGTGCTATGTTCAATATGTTTTATTCTAAATTAGTTTTTTTAAATGAGTTTAATCTTCTTGAGTTCCTGCTTAAAATGATTAAGAACTGTGACGTGTGTTTCACGATGATTTTTGTATTAATGGAATAATGTTAAATATGAGATTGATATGAAAAAAAAAAAAACTATGAGTAACTTTAAAAGATTTTTGTAGGGGTAGTCTGGCCAGCTATCTTAAGTTATAATGTGTGGGAATTTTCAATAAATGTGTTATTATCTTTAATATTGTATGTTTTTTTTGTGTATTAATTGTGGTCTACTGTAGGTCACCCATGTGATCCTTACGGAAACATGGTTTTTCAACCGAACCTGGGTAATTATATTGCGGTAGTAGAAAAAATAAGTTTTAGTGTTGGTGACTATACGATCGGTTTACTGAATTTATTTTGATTTTGAGTTGAGTAGACTTCTTAATTGGAGATTGTATCTTTCCCGGTGTTTTGAAGAGAGATCTGTGTGGTATTTGAAATGTTAAGGTTTAAGGCTATCTCTAGATTTTGTATTGAAATTTATGTGTTTTCAGGTTGGAGATATAAATTAGTTTTAATTTAGTGAGAGATAGCCGTGTTAAAGAAAGATTGTTGTGGGTGTGCATTTTCGCATTTTGTTTTGTCAATTAATCGTGATTCTACCAAAACACCAGGGAGGATATCTTTCTTTGATGTCTTTAGATTTAAAAGTTTTGATTATGTAAGTACAAAGTTTTTTAGATTAGTTTGTTTTTTTTTTTTTTTTTTTTTTTTTTTTTTTTTGTCGCGGCACCAAGCAGTCAGTTTTAAAGAGTTAAAAGTTAAGTGTAAAAATTTTTTTCTACGTACAAGATGTCTAAACAGACTTCGCGATTCATCTCTTGCTCGTAATTGATGGCTAATCTCTCACAACTCTGTTTGAAACAACCACATTTTTTTTTCAAAATAATACTACAAGCAAACTGAAGGATTAGCCGTGGGAAGCCCCTCAGTCCCATCCTGGCTGATATCTACATGCATTGTTATGAATCAAAATTGTTTGAAACTTTAAAACTTCCCGGCACGGTTCCGTTACGTAGACGATACTTTTACCATGTTTGAACGTAATAAAGATGATTTAAATAAAGTTCTTTCAACAATGATTCTATTGATCTGCTATTCAGTTCACTTTGAACTGAGACTTGCAATTCTCTTCCGTTTCTCGACATTCTGGTCACACACGTAACACATCCAACTTCAGTACTGCGGTTTACCGTAAACCTTCATCGGTTGCCTTCCACCACATTTTAAATCATGTCATCCGACTAAACGAAAGTTAGCTTCATTTTATTCCTATGTTTTCCGTGCTCTTCAAGTTTGCTCCTCCAAACTATCCCTTGATGAAGAACTAAATTATTTAAAAGCAATAGCAATTGACAGTGGCTTTTCACCCAAAATTATTAATCAAGCAGTTAAAAAATTCTCATCTCAACACACTAAAAGGCACACTCTTGTTTTAGGAGATTATAAGAACTATGTTGCCATTCCCTTCTTTCCATCAATTAGCTATAAAGTTGCACGTATTTTGCAGAAATTTACCTTTCGGGTTGTTTATTCTCCCATCAATAAAATTCCGAGTTCCATACCCAAGGACCCCATTCCGGATATGAATTCCTAGGGTATTTATAGGATTCCTTGCCAGTGTGGCTTAATTTACATTGGCCAAACTAAGAGAGCCTTAAAATTTCGCGTCAAAGAAACATGAGGCATATGTTAGCAAAAAGGAAATACAGAAGTCTTCTGTTGCTCAACATTGTTGCTCCGAAAATCAGACTTTCAATTTTTCTGCTGCCAAAATTGTTCAAAAAACATCTTCCATTGGAGAACTGGATTTTCTAGAGGCTTTTCACATTGAAAAAAATCTTTCTAGTTAACTATCCTAATTCCAATCCATCTTTGCCTTCGGCCTTTAAAGAAATTATGTCTTAGTTCTGGTTTCATCAACAGATGGCGCCACTTGCTTATTCTTGTCCAGGCTTTCTTATCTTATCTAATCATTATTTCCTATCTTGTTTATTTGCGGTTTTGCAGCTGAGGATGGTGGTACGATAAAACCATCGAACTAGTCCTGTGAAATTTTGAAAATATAGCGCTGATTTTTGTTGGTTGACTTCTGAATTAATATTTACTAGTGTTTATAAAAACATAGGAAGAGTGAAACTGCCTATGTCGAAACTATCGTTCGATTTAGTATAAATTTTTGTATTATATTTGCGAAGTGCTAAGGAAAAAGTAAAAACATATATTGTGTTTAACTGTTATTGGAAGTGAAATTATCCTCAACAACTCTGATGGTTATACCTCACCTTTTACGTTAGGAAAGACGTTGACTAATACTTGCCATCACTGTTGTTATGGTTTTGTCATTAAATATCTACCTTGCTGTTGCCAGCATAATGAGTCTCACTGATTTCTTGGGCGAAAGTTTAGTCTTAATCTCTCGTTTTTTCCCTCCTCAGATCCATAAACCTTCTCCCCAGTAATATTTTCTATGATGCTCTGAGACTGGCCAAGTAACAAAATAGAAACCATCCGATTTTTGCGAATAAAGTATTTTATTTTGCGTATCATCAGGAAACAGTGAATGAGCTCCTTCTTAATCGCTTAAATCATCCTTCGCTAAAAGAAACGCACTATTGATGTGTAACGTCGATTAATGCGCAAATAACTTTATAATGAGGTACAGAGAATTCTTTTTATAGAGAATCGGATCACATTTATAGCAGTCCCCCGATTTATCAACTGTCGGTGTAATTAATTAACGTCAATCACACGTTTTTCGAACTCAACAAATGGTAAAATAACCGATAAATCTTAAAATCTTCCTATGTGAGTTTAATGATGGAAAGGTTTGACAGATCATTTCCAAGTTATCGAATATGTTCGTGAATAATTGCAAACAGAAATTATCGGCATTACGTTAGACGCAAATATCATAAAACGTTATTAAATGTACTCTGAAATATACTGTCCTTTTCAGATAAACGGTGAAAGAACATTGTCAGAAAATATAGCCGACAATGGAGGTTTAAAAGGAGCTTATCTGGTAAGAAATTACCTTTAAAGATTTTTAAGTAACATAAAATCATGCTTTAAATTCCAAGTATAAACGAAAGGTAGTCAAATACATTATGTGAAACATTGTTATTTAAGAGTTTAATTTAGGTATAAACATGTTAAGTATTATGGGATAAATGTAACAGGTTTCAAGGGGTCAACTTGATTCTGCACTAAGAAAGATATCTAAGTATTTGCCTCAGATTTACATACATTTTTAGGTTTGCAGTTTAATCTTTAGTTTCCAGCCAAATGTTTTGGACTCTATCTTCGTAATTAATTGAAATATTCAATGCGAAGGGCCACTACCAGACTAAAGCTAACAGGGAGAATGGCACAGGTCCTCATACTAAAGGCCTACGGATGCGGCAAAAGACACGCTTTTTCTCTTGGCTGAGGGAAAATGATAAATTATACTGCTGGCCACCCAAATTACAACACCAAGAAAGACAAGAGATATCACATCAAAATTTATTTAGTAGATAACTTGTTGACCCAGTATCGAATGATTGAATTTATAGACTTCTGTGAAGTGTGGTTCCTTCCAGAATCAGTAGCCGCCATTGTTGGACATCACCGCTGCCACACGCCTCGGCATTGATTCAAAGAGACTTTGTATGAGTTCTTGGGGTACAGCAGACCAAGCTTCCACACGTTGCCAAATTTGATCTGGTGTGGCAGCTTATGATATAATCTGGGTCAATCGTTCAGCAACCATGGACCACGTGTTTTCTATCGGCGAAAGATCGGGTAAGCAAGCCAGCCAGGGAAGCACTTCAATCTGGCGATTGACGAAGAACCCTTCGACAATGCGTGCCACGTGTGGTCGCGCATTATCCTGTTGAAATATGGCTGTGGGCTTGCCCTGAAAGTAAAGAAGGACAACTGGCTCCAACACCTCGGAGATGTAGCGCTGGCTGTTTAAAGTACTCGCAATGCGTACTAGAGGAGTGCGAGAGTGATATCCAATACCTCCCAATACCATAATATCCGGTGCAGGACCAGTGTGGCGGTGCATAACGCAGCTGTTCAGGATCCTCTCTCCACGGTGTCACCAGACTCGAATCCGACCATCGTGGTGTTGCAGACAGAAGCGTGACTCGTCAGTAAAGACAATTTCATTCCATTCTGCCGTCCACATCCCTCTTTCATCGCACTATTGGCGGCGGAAACGTCTGTGGTTCTGCGTCAAGGGTAGACGAAGCAATGGACGTCTTGCGGACAGACCACTCTGCTGTAAACGGCGTCGAATGGTACGCGCAGACACTGGATGATGCGTAACAGACTGAATGTGTTGTGCTATGATTCGTGATGTGACTGAACGATCCGTCACTGCCATGCGCACAATGTTTCTGTCATCACGTGAAATGGTGCACTGATAAGGATGCGATCGAACACGTCGGTCCATCGTACCCTCCTGCATCCAACGGTCACACATCCGCATTACAGTTCTTTGGTTTCGTCCAACACGACTACCGATTTCCCTGAAAGATAATCCACCCTCTCGGTAGGCCACTATCCTTCCTCTGTCGAACTCGAATACTCGAGAAAAAACTCACATTAATCTCAGCTTCCCAACGTAATGATTAATTACGCCCTAATTCCTCAGTCACCAACATAAACTCAAGTTCCCGATGTAATAGTCTCATCATATCGTAAGTTCAGACACCGTGCTTGCAGCAAGAATTTAATTGAGGTTAATAGCTTCGTCCAAAATCTTTTTCCAGAATGTTTGTGAGAACTGTGGTGTGAACAAGCATTGTTCACATAAGATTGAAATTCAGGTACTAATCTCAAAGTTTCGAGTTCATTTTAGGTCACACAGTGAATCCATAATTGTTATCTAAGTGACCTGTGACTGTCCTCAAGACCATGTCCTTTGCCGTGCATGTGAAATTAAAGCTTCGCGCAGCTAATTGCTATACTACTTTCTACAAGGGAGTACTATCATATAGGGGTTACTGAACAAACAAGGTTCCTTAGTAAAAGGAACAAATTATTAGTATTAGCATAACGAAAATTTAATGTTCTTAAAATTAATCGAAGTCATGGATTCTTTACCTAGCTTTACGCAACAGGTAATTAAAATGTTCTTGAGTGATTATCGAATTATATATAGTTAGCTTCGATTCCTTAAAGAAGTTAAAAATTTCTAGAAATTTAAATATAATTCCGACCTGTGCCGAATGGAAGTCATTTGACTGGCATAAACTTCCACAGTTTTGACTAAACGAATTTCCCAGTGACATGCAAAACAAAATATTTCATTTAATAAAGACATAAAAATATTATTCGGCATTTAAATGTTAGTCTGACTTTTGGACCATCCTAGACTTTTGCATTATTTTTGTATGCATGCAAATACTGTGTGAGCATACATCATGGAACAACAGAAATAAAAGCAAGGTTACCAGGTAAAATATTTTATACACTATTCTGAAGGTTTTTCTACTTATGGAAAAGCACCTATATTACTATCATAAAAATGAATCAGAAAGTGTTTTGCAGTAAGAAAATAAGTGTTATTTTGCTTGAAATTTTTCAGACATTTTAAATGTCGCTTTCCTTAAATATTTCATTAAACGAACAGAAATTTTATTTGTGACAATTATGTTGTAGGGTTTATATTTATTTTAACTAACATTTATTTTAAGTTTAAACTATCTTTCCTGTCAAGCCTTACTTTCCCCTGGAACTGCCAATGCCAGAGTATGTAAATTTTAGTAGAACGCGCAAGGATTCAAATTATCAGCGGAAGTATTCTGATTTAAATAGAAAGGAAACGAATTCGAGGTGTGATATTCTTACTTCACGAGCGCGGAGGTAGTTGGCCAGAAATTGAAGAACCCCGCGTTTCGGCCTGTGTGCTTGCCTGGAAGTAGTGTTAATCGTTCCAGTGATCTTCAAGTTTGCTGAATTAGCAGCGGTATTGTAAAACGCGGTGAGTTAGTTACTTTTAGAGAGCCTCGTAGTTAGAGTCTTGTCTTTAGTTTCTTTTCAGGTTATTATTTTTATTTGACCGCCGAGTTGGCGCAGTTTGTGAGCGTCAAGAGCACGCACTTGTAATTTATTACGTTGAATAAAAAGGATCTTAAACCCTTAACAAGACTCTGTCTTTTATCCAGTTTTCACAGTCACCTCTTGATTGCGTGCAAGTTGGAGGCGCGCAACGCTACAATGTTACCAGGGTTAAAGGCATCGTCATCCGTTAGCGTCGGTAGACTCTCGTCGGAGTGAAATTTAGGCTGAGCCGTAACCCCCGAGACACATACGACGCAGCGGCCTTTTTCCAACCCCCACAGAATGAGTCGAAAATCAAAAGGGGTGATTGATAGGTTACTTATCTTCTCAGCGGTGTTGCATTAGGATCACAGCGGGGGCTGTTTCAGGAAAGTAAAGGATGGGGACACTTTCTTCGAATAGCTACCCCCTCAACATATCTTATGAGATCCACAACAGCTTTCTCCCTTTCTATTAACGAACAAAGGGATTTGAATGCTATCTTTTCAATTCTTAACGATTCAATTATTCTCTTTTGTTACAGGTCAAATACTAGCTAATGCCCATATTTTTACTTTATATAAAGCATTTTCTTGACAATTAAAAATTACATTTACATTGTAATAGATTGCAATAGATTTGGGGTTGGGTGCAGGAAGTGGAAGTGGAGATGGGTGCAAAGGGAAAAATATCTGCTCTAAGGACTACACCAGTCTTTGTGTTTTATGTTGCCCCTTAGGGAGTCGTTATTCACCATCCTTCAGTGTGACAGATACGCTGTTCAATCTGATTTGAACAGAACTTCTAAATAGGCTTTCACAGGTGGTGAAAGGGGGAAAGAAATACTCTGAGCCCAGTTTTAGACACAAAAAGTTTACCTTTGGATGCGAAAAATAGCTCGAAATGTTTGCGATTTTCCTAACGGCGAAATGGTTAAAAATACAACATAAGGCAGCAGTCTACATTGAGCGACAGTGCAGGTATACAACGTTCATTCATTTCAGTCTTGTAAGTCTGATTATTCCTCATACGTAATTTTATTTAAAAATAAAGTGAATAATTTTTAACCCCAGTTAAAATGAGTACAAAACGAAAGAGCTATTCCGTCGAGTACAAAAAGGGAATCGTGGAAGACTCCAGGGGTGTAAATCTTGTAGCGTTCTGTAAAGAGAAGATGCTGGATCTCCGTATGGTTCGTAAATGGCGTGCAGACTACAATTACCTGTGTCAACTGGTGGACCAAGGAAATGAGAAAAAACGCAGAGTTGGATCAGGTCGGCAGCCGTTATTTTCTGAGTTGGAAGATTGCATCTGGGAATGGATTGCAGGCAGGAGAGCAATGGCTTTGGTTGTGCGCAGGGCTGATATTCAAAAATTTGCCTTTGAAACAGCAATTAAATTTGATTCAGAATTCAATTGCTGTTTCAAGGGCAATTCCACAGAAGAATTTAAAGCATCGTCACACTGGTTGGACAACTTCCTTAAACGATATGAACTGTCTCTAAGGAGATCAACAACATTGTTTAAGCTGGAAGACAATGAAGTTGTTAAGCGTGTACTTGCCTTTAAGCTTTTTGTTGATAGCATCGATTTTTCGAAATACCAACTCTCCAACATGATTGCTATGGATGAGACCGCGTTATTCCTAGGCCAAGGAGCTCAAACGACAGTTCACCACAAGGCTACTTCGTCAATTTACGTTTCTTCTACCGGTTACGATAGTGCACGTATTACCTGTATTTTGGCGATTTGTCTAGATGGCAAGAAAGTATTGCCATTTTTAGATAACAAAAGGTAAAGTATCGCCATTTTTAATCACTAAAGGTAAAAAAGACCTGATTCAACGTGTTTCAGGAATTTATGTCATTGAAAGTGAAAAAAGCCTGGTGCACCCAAGCAGTTATAAGAAAGTGGGTTGATTTTATGCTGCCACCACTGTTTGAGGGGTCAGAATAGAGGTTTACTAGTTTGGGATTCAGCCAGTACTCACCGTGCTAAAGACATGAAAAACTTTCTTGCTGAGAGGAAGATTGATCAAATAATGATTCCGGCAGGAATGACTACTGGGTTACCTCCAGACACTTGACATTGCAATAAACAAGCCATTTAAGGATCATTTGCGGATGGAAATCAATGAATATATTGAAAACAGAATGGTGAGAAATCATTGAGGTAATTTTGTAAAACCAGGCTTACAAGAAGTTGTGAATTGGGTAAAAAATTCATGGGACAAAATAACTGATAGTGATGTTTCCAATGCACTACGAATAGGCTACTTAGACAAGAAGTATTCATTTAACGATAGCTATATCGCAAGACATGAGAGATTCGGACCAACGATTCAACAGGAAATGGATTTGGAAGAAAATCAGAATATAATTCAGAATTTTATTTATGACGATATTCCAGAAAAAGATGACATGACTGTAATTGAATAAATTTAAACTTCTGTATTCTGTGTAAAATAAATATTAAATAAAAATATATAAATATACTTTTATTTTTGCCCTCCCCCGAAAATATGCCCTAGCGCGTATTTTGGACCAAAAAAAAAAAGTAACACAGTGTCTTATTTTCGGAAAAAGACCGTAATAGAATTTTAAAAGCGTTAGGAATGACTGGATTGGACTTAAAATCATTAAGTAAACATGCTAAATCTTTGTGAATATTAAAAGCCACAAGAAAATCCAATTCACCAACGGAAGAAGCTTTTTGGATAATTTTTGCAGATCCAAAGTCAAAATTATGATTAAATTTACAACTATGATACGCTATTGAAGAGGTGTTAATTTCGCCTTTTCGGACATAAGATTTATGTTCCTTGATACGAAACTTTAACGCTCTGTTTTGTTTGGCCAATATATCTCAAGTCACACTTACACGACATACTATAAATTCCCCAAGAATTAAAGTCAGAAACGCAATCTTTTAGAATCGAACCGGGAATTTTATTGATAGGGGAGAAACTGACTTGAAAATTGAATTTCTAGAGAATCCGTGCAACTTTATAACTAACAGAAGGATAAAATGGAAGCACGACAGGGTCATTAATATTATTTCTAACAGTGGAATGTCTTCTGTGATGGTAATAATTACTGGTAAATTTAAAATAACAGCTTTACAATGTCAATAGTTCTATACATTTTTAATTATTCATCACAATATTACAATTAAAATACATAAGTTTTAGACCCATTTTCAAACTAAAAAGAATAAAAGTAAAATGAATTAAAAATACCACTCTGCTGAATGCATGAGTAAGCGTTTTTTTTTTTTTTTTTTTTTTTTTTTTTTATGATTTTATGTATTGCATAAGCTACCTTACTTTAGAATTATTGAAAAATAGTGATAAAAATAAAAAAATGAAACTCACTCATTACACTGAGTTTAGGAGGTGATTCATTTTTCGAATGAATTCCACTAAAATCTTACTTTTATTTCTTTAACAACATACTTATGCCTTCCTATGCATTCGGTAAAGTATAAACATCATCTTATTCTGATCATTATTGTTATTTTGTTAAAAAATTCTAGCATTTTCTAACATTTTTACCATAATTAAATTTGTAAGCTTACGTATGTTCTTAGTTTCAGAAGATATCTGTTCATATAAAAAATTAAGAAATGTACCTACCAAACATATATAAAAACTAAATGGGAAACCTACTCCCCAATTTATTATTATAGATATGAGGATGAAAAACTAAAATTTTCATTATATGAACTATTTTAAGCGCAATGCTCTTCTTTGAAATCAAAGTGGGTTTATTTTTAAATATTGTTTAATTTTACTGATCAAATGAACGAGCTTTTTATGCGATTATGGTAAGTTTATTATTAAAGTACAATATTTTGTCCACATCTTGATTTTTCCCCCGATTCAAATGAATCATAATTTGATAAAGCTTCAAATAATAAATAAGCATATATTCTTTACAAAAGTGGTTAAATTTCCTTTACACTCTTTAAAAGTCATAGGAATCTCTTTGTTTTAATTCAAAGTTAATCTCTGATAACCATACACTAGAAAAATCATCAGCTATTATATCGAAACTCGTTTCCTAATTTTTATTTGAATAATATACTTATTGCACTACATTTTGTTGTTTTTACAGGCTTATATGTCTTATGTTAAAGACCACGGAAACGAGATAACATTGCCAGGACTGAACTTTACAACGAATCAGTTGTTCTGGATAAGCGCAGCAAATGTAAGCCTGATATGTGTTATTTATTCACTGTTAATCAATAGGTTACTTGTTACTAATATATTTCGATCGACATGTTAGTTGAAAATATTTAGGTGTATGCATTAAAAATGACAAATTCGTTCTTAAACAACAACAAAAAAAAAAAACTTATGTTATCTTATAACCACAAATCCGTGTTTCAAACCGTTAATTGCGTTGCATAATAAAATTTGAAGTCTAAGCTCGAGAATTGTAATTGCTTAATTTCCATATTACTTATCTCGTGGTGTATATGGCATGTCTATACAATGAAACTTTAATAACAGCTTCACAGTTCGAAAAGAATGCAACAAATGAAAGGAAATTCCATTGATTATTTACTACTGACTCTCAAAATAATAATAAAATAAACCCTTGAAAGTCTTACTTAGACATGTTAAAATCAAGCTCAACTGTTAGCTCTAGTAACTCATGCTTCGTAAAACTACAAACCTTTCCAGAAATAGAAAACATTTTCTAGGAAAAACTTCTCAAAGTACTAAATATTCTAAAATCCATGTTATATGAAATCCGGTCCGCACAGAGTTTCTTCGATCGAGTATTCAAGCTACTTCTTAACGTGGCTGAAATTAATCTGTCTTTCTCATAAATACTTCAAAAAGCTACTTAACTGCGAGGCGAAGTCCAGCATCTCCTAGCGCGGTTACCATCGAAAACCTCGCGGCAAAAACAACACGGGCGAAAACGTCGCGGAGAAAACAACGCCAGGTGAAAAAGTCGTGCTAGAAAAACATCGTGGGAGATCGCATTTCTAAAGCATCGTGATACAAAATATCGTCGTAGAAAATAAAGCGGTTAAAAAACTTCGCAGTTTAAAAACATCGTCGTCGAAAATACCCTGGTAAAAAAAAGTAGTTACAAATCATCACCTGACGGTAACATGGCAGACATTCTTTTTTTTTTTTCAGGCTTTAATAATTGTAAATGGATATTCCCATAATGATTTGGGACCGCATGATGGAAAGAAGGATAATTCTTACTTTGAGATTTTTAATAACTAATACATTTTTGCTGATAAAGTAAGAAGGAGACTGAAGCATAGAAAATTAATGCAACTTATACCACTTAATAGAGTTTTAAACCGACATAGTTAACTAACAAAGGTTATTAATAAATATTTTTTTAAAGTTTTTACTGGTAATTTTCATGAAAAGTATAATCTAAAAAAGATTAGAAAAAGGAAGGTAAGTAACTGCATGACCTTATCTCTAAAAAAATTGCTAACTTAATTAACAGATTATTTCTTCACTTTTGTTAATCTAAAATTCTTACAGTGAAAATTATTTCTTGTTTTGTTTCAGTTTATTCTTAAAGTGTTATTAAAATTTTCATGCACAGCGTGTAGTCAGTTACTTGAATGTCGATTTGTTAGTTATAACGAAAGTCAGCTACATAATATTTCAGTAGGTTTTGGATTTATTAAATTATACCAAAGCACACTACGGCTATCTGCTTAAGGGGTGGGATTCCATTGTGGAGTACATTGTCAGGAACTAGCTCATATGGACATTATATTTTAGGAAAATCCCGAAAATCTTCACGCAGCTTCTTTTGTTTTTTAGAAATAATGTATACTTGCAGTAACCTTCTTGGTGACTATCTCCCTAAGACGAACAGTGTTTTTTAGAACAATAAACATAGGTTTTAATCATTACTCAAATTCATCACATCCACACAAGATTACAAAAATACGGAATTTTGAGTGGTCGCTTTAAATTGGATTGTTTACATTTACTTAAGATTTAGACATTTCTTATTAAGCACTTAAAGGTATATTATTTAATTTTTCATATACATTTTACCCGAAAATGCTGTAATTACTTATTGAACTTACAGTGACCAACCTTCATAAGATAATTTTAATGTTTTTCTTCTGTGTTTCTTAATTTTTTAGAATATCTTAATTTATGCCCTTCAGAAATCTGTAGCGAAATTAAAATTAATATTTGAGTAAAATTCTATTTTGCGGCGATTCTTTTTCTCGGATTTCTTGCTTAGCAAACTTTGAAGCGACTAAGTTTTCTTGTAAATTTTAATTAAAGATAAAATTTAATGAAATAAAAACTTAATCAAATTTCCCTTAAATTGTTTTCAAGTATAAAAACTGCACATATTTTACATTGACATTTATTTTCAGTGATTGAAACCTTTCAAGTACAATTTTTTTGTATTTAAATGACAAACTGTTTTTAATAAGAAAATGTAATATTTTATATATAATTTTAAATGCTTTAGAAACATATGATTTATGAATATCAATCATAACTAAATTTTAAAGTCCGGGTTTACTTCGTTGCATGATTATTTTTTAATTAAAGTAACCAGAAAGAATATTTTTTCAATAAAATGAAAGTATTTAGTACTTCTGTGCATTAAACTATTGGAAAAAATTTCTTGAAAGAAGGCATATTATTTTCCATAGTTTACGTTTTAAATCAGACAAAAGTATCCTTTTTGTTTTAATAATTTTACTATTCTTATAGTTTTTTTCTTCTTATTATAACTGTAGTTTTAGTTTCACAGTTCATAATAATTAACAAACATATACTGTGAATTAGTTAAATCAATGAGAGGTGTGTTATTAGGTAAATGTAGAATTCAGTTTATCCATGTACACCACTGTAAATAACAAATATACTAATTGCTCGTCTTTGATTTCTTTTGATGACTGAAGTGGAAAAACCACAGTACTTTTAAAGCATTATACCAATTTCATTTACTTGTAAAGCACTTATATTTTCACTTTTTTTAATTTATATTATTCTCATTACTTACATAAAGTTTTACGCCTTAAATAAATTAAATTAAATTAAATAAAGCAAATTTTATAATTTTTGCGTGTAAAGACCGGACACCAAATTTTTAACGTTATTTTGACAGAGTAAAACATATTTTGGGAAAATCTGTGTATTTCTCTTATTGGTCTGAAGAAGTATTTAATAATAAAGAAATTTAAAAAAAAAGAAATAAATGCATATTGCACAGTTCTGAAAAAAAAACACTGCTTAAAATTTATATTTAATTTTTTTAAATCTTGTTCCTCAGATTCTAAATATTTTCCATTCTCAGCGACAAAGTTTGAGTGATGTTTTTATCATACGTATAATCGGAAAGTTTCGCCTCCTTAATCGAACTACATGGATATGTAATTTTATTCGAAAAAGATTAAATTGTTGTATTATTCATTATTCGTGTTGCTGAAGTTTGGCCAGAAAAGAAAGAAAAAGAAAAATTGTCAATTAAATATCTATTTTTAATATAATTCATTGGATGAATTATATATTAATTAAATTAATCTGCATGTATGAATACATATATGCAAAAGAAGCGAAGGGCTTTATCAAAAACAAACAAGGAAAGGTGGTGTTTGATATAAATTGCGATGAGTTACGAGAGATAATTGGCGCCTGTTCCAAAATAAAACTAACCAAGTTAGGCCACACAAATATTTAATTATTTACATAATGTACAAGATTATATGTTAGGTGCTCCATTAGCACAGACAAAGTGGAACGAACGAACGCACCATAGGTCCGCTGCGTACCTTCTTCAACAACCAACTCAACTAAATTTGGCTCCTCTCACAAGAAGGCGCTGATCATAGAGGGCGCTATATTAAACCGAACATTCCGGCCCCCATTGAAACAAGTTTCAATAATTCCATAAAAGTTTTACAATCAATTCAAATTTAGCCATACATATAAAATACACAATGAAATGCAATTTAAAACAAATTATTTCAATTACAATTAAATTCAATAGCATATAATATAAAAAATATTATACTTGCAATACAAATTTTGCCGTGCGTACACTAACTACTCTAACTCTTTTATCCAATCCGGGTATAATTTCTTCAACTCGGCCTAAAATCCAATGACAAATAGGAAAATTGTCTTCCTTCACGAGCACCATAGTTCCAGATTTAACGTTATCTTTTTTAAACTGCCATTTCGTTCTCTCGTGAAGTTGCGATAAATAATCCCGTTGCCACCTTTTCCAAATATTTTGAGTCATTTTGGTGACTCTTTCCCATCTAGACAATCTGTTGTCAGACTTATTTATAATTTCTGGTTCTACAGGGGCTGTTATAGAACGGCCAATTAAAAAATGTCCAGGCGTTAATGCATTAAAATCCATTGCATCTGAAGAGAGAGGAGAAATTGGTCTGGAGTTTAATATTCCCTCAATTTGTGTTACTAAAGTTAAAAATTCTTCAATAGTTAATTTTGAATTCCCAACCGTTTTTTTTTAAATGCGTTTTGAACGATTTAACGCCTGCCTCCTAAAGCCCACCAAAATGCGGTGCTCTAGGAGGTATAAATTTCCATTCAATCTCCTCTGACAACAAATAGTCGGATAACTCTTGTTCTGGTACTTTGGCTAATTTAAACAGCTTGCCTAATTCATTTCGAGCTCCACAAAAGTTTGTAGCGTTATCCACATTTGTTAAAGGTTGATTCAACTGACACTCGTTCAGCAGGTAGATCACCCTGGATGAAACATGTACGCATTCATGTACTATTTTCTAGCAAGATTCTGCCGCTGATGGGCCAAAACTTTTGTCTAACAGTACTCAATAGAGCTTCTGGTCCAAGATGCAAATATTTCAGATGATAATAGTACATGATAAAATAAGTCAACCTATGTCTAGCTGGCAAAATGATTGGATATTTAGAATCATAACTTACCTGAGATTGCACAAGTCTGCTACCGACGCGTAAGATTCCCGAAGCAGGTCGTTTCGACGCCAACGGTTCGACGCCAAAGTTTCGATGCCGGGGCAGTTCGACGCCGTACGTTTCGACGCAGGGGCAGTTCGACGCCATATTGTTTTCGTATTTTTATTTATTTTTAGAATAAATATGAAGTAATATGACAGATTTTTATTAAGTAATATGACTTAATAAAAATCAGTCAATAATAGTCAATAGTTTTAATAAGTAATATGACTGATTTTT